AACCATATTCTTTTAATTCATAATAAGCTTTCCAACAATCAAAAAGAATTTCTGAACCTTCAGCAAAATATTTCTCCAATAAAGTCGTCACAGTATTATAATGCAGAGGAAGGAATTATATGTGAAAGAGCTAAGGATCAGTCCGGATTATTTGTTTGAATTATATATGTATACTTTACATTTTTTTAAAAAGATTTTTTTTTTTAATTTTTTACCAAAAACGGATTGTGGGGGATTGGATATTTTGCTAATTCACTTGGAATTTTTTTTTTACTTGTTTATCGGAAAATTCTGTTAAATTTTGTGTTTTTTATACCCTGAACAGGGTGTATTAAATTTGCCACGAAGTTTATAACACCCAGAAAGAAACGTCGGAGACAACATAAAATAAATACATATATTAATGATCAGCATGACGAGCTGAGTCGATTAAGCCATGTCCGTCTATCAGTATATACGCGTACTAGTCCCTCAGTTTTAAAGATATCGATCTGAAATTTTGAATACGTCCTTTTCTCCCCAAGAAGCTGCTCGGTCGGATCGGTATCCAGTGTTTGTATGTAAAACTTTTTATTTGACGAGATATCTTCAACAAATGTGGCATACGTTATTTCCTAAAGCAATAGGGCAATATCTGAAGACATTGTTTTGATCGCATTACTATAGCATATAGCTAACATACAAACTGACCGATTACAGTTCCTATTAGGAATCTTTGTATTTGTAAAGGGTATCATAGCTTCGGGGCAACCGCAGTTAACGTTTTTCTTGTTTTAATACACTTTAAATTCTAAACTTAACTTCATTTGCAATACCCTCTATATTGTTATACATTCCGTTCCAACATCCAACATTGGCCCTTCCTTACTTATTATTATCTTTTATTGCTGGTGCTGCGTATTCTCTTAAGTGTGTCCACTTACTTCAAGTATTGAAAGCAATTAATGCAATCAATTACATATGCAAATATTGGCCTCCTCTGAGATAAAAAACTAACAAAAGACGGTAAGTAGATATTACAAATTACAATGTTTTTTTTTCCATTTTATGCATTTATAATTCAATTTTGCGCATATCACAAAAATACTACTATCAATTGCCAAGCGAAAAGATTATAAAAATAAAAACGGACTTAGAAAATGCTAAGAAGAGTCGAAAAAAGTGACTAAGCATGCGCAATCTCCGCCGATTTCTCCTTTCTAACTCTGCGAAATTTATGTATGCTTGCTGCTGCTTCCGAAGTACAAACGATCTTTAGGGCACTTACTCCAACGCACAAGCAGAACTCAGTAAATGTTAAGTGTTTCGAAAATTATGCAAAATCTGTGGATAACTGTATTTGTTTTTGCAAAAACTCAGCCAAGAGCTGTAAATCGTGGGCGATTAATTCATTTCCAATTCAGATTTGATTTTTTCATTGCACAGAAAGCAGCTCCCATTTCTTAGCTGTTTGTTGTAGCAATTCAATTTCGCTCCGTACCGATTTCATCTATTTTTGGGGTATTGGCGACAATTTAAGTTCGCTTGATATTCAAAGCGACGTTCATCCAAGAATGTACATTCATTGCTGGTGGCCAGTCTAGGTCTCCGAAAACGTGCATTGCCCGACGTTTGCCATCGGCGAATTATAAATGCAAGTAAACAATTTTTGGATGTTTAATATATTGCAGAAATGGACAGAATTTTAAGTATGTAAAAGCGTTGAAGCGTGGAAAAGAAAAATCACACGCGCTTTTCGAATCGCTGTAGTAAGTGGAGGCCACAACAAATAGTGAGAGTGTATCTCATTGACATTAGAGTGTGGACTAAGTTATATTTATACTCTCGTTAAATGTCGCACAGAGAATAATAGTTTTGTTCACCTAACGGTTGTTTGTATCACCTGAAAGTAATCGAATTAGATATAGGGTTTTGTATATACAAATTATCAGGGTGACGAGGGGGGTTGAAATCTAAGTGAGTGTCTGTCTGTCCGTGCAAGCAATAAGTTGAGTAAAAATTGATATATCTTGATGAAACTTAGTACATATGTTCCGTGGCACCCAAGGAGGGTTAGTTAGGTTAGTTGCAGATGGGCGTAATCGGACCACTGCCACATCCACAAAACGTATTAAACGAAAACCTATAAAGTGTCACAACTATGCACTTAATTAAGATACAAAACTGTAATTTGGTACAGAGCATCGCAGTGATAAGAAGCGCTTGTGCTTTTAGGTGGGCGTGGCACCGTCATCTAAATAATTAAATGCACATATCTTCCAAACCACTGAAGCTAAATCAACCAAACTTGCTGAGAAAAAGTTTTTTAAGCCTTTCCTTATACAATGTGAACATGGGTAAAATTAGATAATAACCCCTTCCCATATAACGGTAATATTAAAAAAATTTTAAAAGTGCAATAACTCACTGAATAAAAGAACTTCAAGCATTAAATTTTACAACCAGGATGGCAAAGAAAGAGTTTATTGGAGCCGGAGTCAAAATTGTCGAAATCCGACTATAATTTTTCAAGGACCGTATATATAGACATTAAATAAGTGGACATCAGTGCATACGACTGATTTTCCTACCGAACATATCGGTTAGTCTGGGAGTTCTATTATTGAAATTCGGAGAGAATATTTTTGTGATAACTGCATGCCCTTGTGTTAGAAATGGGTAAAGTCGGGTCAATACTTCCCTAGCCCCCAGATACCTAATATAAATATTTTCGACTACCGGTTGACTTTATACCGCATCTATCGGTCAATATGTAATAAATCTTAATGAAATTCCGAAAGAATATATTTCTAATAGCAGTGTATTTTCTTGCATAGGATTGTAAATAATAGATGCATTAACTACTTCCTACTTTTAATTAAAATAAAAAATCTCATATATGGCAATACCTTGCGGGAGTATAAAATGTTCGGTTACACCCGAACTTAGACCTTCCTTATTTTTTTTTATTAAAAATAATCTGCTGTTATTCTTTTTGTTGAAAGTCCGTGTGAGAATGTAGACCTTTCTGTATCATAATATTTTCGTATATATATACAATATATTATATAATATTAGGGTGGTCAGGGAAAGGTACTTAAAACTGAGGTCTTTCTAATCAAAGTGAGTTCAAAAAATGCGTTTTGTTGAAGTTATTTAATCTTCAGTAAGGGTAACAGTATTTTTATTAACATATTATTATAATTTTTGCTTAACTAATAATTTCTGGCTGCGAATTAAAACCGGGGAATTTAAAGTGTTCTTATGCTTCCTCGAATCTTTCAGTCCAATCGACCGAGGAAGAAATGAAATATTAATTATGAATTCTCAAAATATTTTTTCATAAATGAATTAACAGGTCGTTTTTTTAAGATGATTTAATTACAAAGGATGTGAAAAAAAAGTTATAACAATTTGTTACTAGTTACTGTACTATGAAAGGTAATCCTTTGCTTGAAGCTTTTGGTTCATAAGAAATCATAAAGAATTATAAAATAGTTTTGAGAATTCATTATACAGATATCAGAGATCCTCAAAATCTCATTCACATTCAACTAATTCATTTCCGGCTCAACTGATTCTATGCATTTATACAGGTGGATTTTATCGGTAGAATATTCAAAAGATTATATTAAAAACAGTTTTAATAGATAAGTCAAGCCGCCAAAAGCGTCTAAAAAATTAAAATACTATTTAATTTTATATGAAACTTACATATAATATGTTAGTTATCTAAAAAGTCAATTATTTGTTGTTCATTTAAAGAATAAACATTTTATGTTCAATTAAATTCAGAAGTATGCGGAAAGAGACATATTTATATTGCACACCACGTGGAAGGTATGACATTAGACGCGCCGACAATTAAGCAGCTCTTACAAACATACATCGGATATATATCTACATGACAGATTTTATGTTTTTTAAAACTTAAAGAGGTAAAAATTTGCATAAGCAATTACCTAACAACTAATATTTGTGAGTAGGTAATGTTCTTGCCAATATTGTTTATTTTCTAAGTGTGTAGCTATTATTTACACTAGTTATATTTAAGCTGATGTTGTGTCGTACTCGTGCTAGACTTCAAACTTTTTTTGCAATGAATTAAACATTATATGCCCAAGCGTATAAGACAACTACCTATAAACCAGATGTGTGGTTTGTAGGAAGTTGTCTTATACAATAGAAAATACGAAGGTTACTGACCGTGGTGGTTTCTCTATAAAATATTATAATTCATCCGAAAAGGCATTTAACAATATTTCGGTATTATATTGAAAGGGCCAATGGTAAATCCACTCGGATACTTCAGTAATTATAAATGATTGACGTAAAAAATGTATAGTCAATAGATCGATTCATAGAGTCCGCTACTATCATAAAATCAGAACACGAAAAATTATTTTAATTAAAATTCATAAAAATCTACAAACACAAATATTAAAAATATGTTTAAAAGAAAAAACAGATCCCTGAATGAAACTCTGGATCCGCTATTGAATGGGTAAAGCAATTTCGGAAAAATATGGATAGTGTTCAGTATAAAGCAAACGTTATCATTAGATCTGTTACATTCTAAAATAATTCTGTAAACCCAAAAATTATTTTACTTTTATTGTGTGTGTAAGTATTATTATTATTTTCCAAAAAATAAACGTTTAAGTTTTAAGTTAAAATTGTAAATTCATCAACGATAAACTTATGAAATTGGCAGCATTGGTCCAAATTATCATCTACATACTTCTGTGTCATGTATTACTTCAGTTCCGTCTAGCAATATTTTACAGTTGCGGGCAATATTTGTTTTCTTTTTTTATTCAACGCATTAAAAACGCTTCTCCTTGTTTCGCATCAATTGTCTGTGTTATATGGATTGTGCATATCTACATACATATTTTAATAAGCACTTACATTTTTTACCGAAATCAAAATTATTTTTCGTCATTCATATTCGAGATTAAATGTTCACACCTGTGTATGGTTGCAAAAAACAAACTGAAAAGGTTGAAATCAAACACAAATAAGCGTGTGGTCCGTCTTTTCCTAATGACAGTGTCTTTTGTTCATATTCTATTATTACTCTTCGCTATTGACTCAGAGTTAACTACATGGACTGCAGGGCAAATGTGTAAATATCATAGTACTTGTATGTACAGACAATGTATGCGTTGCGTGTGCAACTACAAATAGTCAACAGTTATGATGCTTAGCATCACCGATTTGCAAACACTTGATCAATCCGATACTTGCTGCTGTTGTGTTGTTGTTTTTTGGAATACCAACTATTTTTCATATGCTTTGGCGCAAATATTTATCATCTACACCGAAACATGTCTACTTGATGGCGCGCTATTGCTGCGAGACGCTGCGCAGGCGCTTTGCAGTAAACAAAGTTACAACGGCCTTGCCGGAGTGCCAGTTAATGTTTGACTTTGGCGCGTAGCTCACGCAAGCTTTCGCAACGACGGCAATAAGTTTTTAATAAATTTAATAAGGGATACCAAAAATTTGCAAAAAGACGATCAGTGAATTTACAGTGATTTTTAATAAGAGAAAATAATTTTTTTTTTTTACTAAACAAAATTTAGACGAAATAAAACCACCGAATTCACGCACAAAATGGTTCGAGAGCATATTTTTAATACCGTTTTTTATTATATACAGTTTGTTACATACACAAACTAAATTAACCAAATGTGAAAAATTCTTAAAAAATCAATTATTTATATTTTTTTTAACATTGCATAAAATGTTATATGAATGTTCAAATTCTTAGACAATAAATTAAACAAGAAAACTGAGAAAACAGATTTGAATAACTTTCGAATTGAGTGTCTATAATTTTAAAACATTACCAAATTAGGAATGCAGGATAAACAGATTACAGCAGTTTCGAACCTTTACTTAGCCAAAAAACATCCGACCTCATAGACGGTAGAAAGGAAAAAAGTATAAAAAATTAACTTTTGCTGCACTGAAGTTATAATACCCTTCACAGGTGTATTTTTATAGCATAAAAGGGTTTAAAAAGATTTTTACTTCGAGTTTGAGCGATGAGTTGGAATCGCAGCTATATGATATAGTGGTCCGATCTGAACAATTTGTCCAAAGACTATAGTGTTACCTTGGGCAATAACTTGTGAAAAATTTCGTGAAGAAACCTTTTCAAATAAAGTCTATACAAAGACTTTAGTTTGATAGATTAGTATAGTATATATATAGTACATTATAGCTGCCATACAAATGTGCAAATTCTTGGGAAAGAAACGACGTGTGCAAAATTTGGCATATACAAGTACATATACAGATGAACAGACAGACGATTGTAATTAAATCGGCTCAGGTTATCTTTTACATTTATCTTCGTGCCAAACTTAATAGACCCTGTTGAGAATATAAAAAAGTCTTGCCTCCAATAACTGTGAAATATTGACAGCAAAATTACCTTTATCATGTTTATTTTTATTTATTGCCTTTAAATGATATGGCAAACTATAGTAATATTTAGAGTCTTCATACAATTTTCACATCTCCACCCTCACAAAAATATATTTGTATTGAAAAAATAATCAGGTTATTGCTGGTATCCTGCGATAAAAACAGAAGAAGAATTTCCTGTTGACAATTTGCTGATTAACTAACGAAAAGCACTGCCCGAAATTACTGATATATACTTGTAATGAGCTTCAACTCCTAAACGACTCGAATTATTAAATGGCATTGAACATGTTAAGCACACAGCTTTACCAATTCCGTATAATTTCTCGCTCGTAATTAACATAATAGGTGTGAAGACCACAAACTATTGTAAATAGTATATCTTTCGACCGTAAAATAAATTGTCACCAGTGAACACCATGCTACATGGCAATAATTGGAACTGACAAAAGAAGTAAAAAAGATAAAAATCTGACCTTATTCACCATCTAAACTATTACGAAATCATTCAGCACAGGTATTTCAATATTTGAAACTGCGTGCAAAATACACGAATGATTTGTCAAAAAATTCGGTTGTGTAATATTATTAATTTTATTAAATATGTGCATTAGGGTGGGTTAAAAAAAATTGTTTTTCCGCTTAGTACACTGAAAAATTGATGAATAGACGCATCTAAGAAAGTCTCTCCAAGTGTGAGCTGTTAATTGTAACGGTAAGGTCCTCCGCCTTACTATGCCGGACTATGAAAAGTTGTAAATTACAAACACATTCGTGAAGAGATGTTCTGAAGCTAGGAAGAGGGAAGAGTCACATGACAAGTGAGGCAACTCAGTCTAAGAGAACCTAAATAAAATTTTTATAAATACAATAAGACTGTCCTTAAAAGAGCAGGTAGCATCAAACGTACTGCTCATACTGTAAATAAACCCTTACTTTCAAAAACACATATTGAAAAAGGTTGCATTGGGCGCAGAAAAACATCAACCGGGGTTGGAGCAACATTTACAGAAGAGTCAGCTTTTGTATTGTTCAACCCGTTGAACTATTACAAAATAATGTTTTTTCTATAATAACAACATTTATTATAATACTGCAGAAAAGAAATGATTACACCGGCTAAACTGACAATACTTTTGAAATATTTTTATATTCATCAGAGACTCCTCTTTATCCTACGTTTGCCACCAATATTGTGATATCACGCTTATATTACCAATACCTCAAACAGGTGGCATGCAATCTCCAAAATTGATTGGCAACCCTTAATAAAATTATGTTTGCAATATTATTTTTCAAATTTCTGCGGTTGGATAATTATATTGTGGTATTATTTATATTCATTTTTATTTGTTTTGGAACAAGCGGAAATCTTTTAAACCTAAACTTAAAAGAATACATTTAGAGTATCAGACCGAACGGTCAAATAAATAGTATTCACGAAATATACCGTATGAAAACAGTTTCACTATACGCTGAACAGTTCTTAGTATATTAGCGGTATTTTATATGTCGAAAATGTGTATAAAGTTTGAAATGAATCGGTCAAGTAGTTTTAAAATGACAGTGAACACGGACTTTGAAAAAGTAGTTTTGAGAAAAACGCGTTTAAAGTTTATGAACTTTACAGACCGCCCGCAGCAGTTAGAGTTGGAGCGTTAAAGGCCAGGAAATTAATAAGACAATAACTTTAAGAATATTGCTTCTATCGACCTAAAATTTTAAGGGCATATTCTTGAAATGTTAAACAATAAGATAAGAGAAAAAAAATCGATTAACCCTAACCCTAACCGCCCCTTAAGTTCACCATATATTAAGTTCACCCAGAAGGTAACGTCGGATCGTAGTAGCATATAACTCATCAAAATCAAGTGAAATACCCTTTTATGATATACCCTTCTATGCCATGAAAAATGCACCTGTGAACGGTATTAAAGCCGAAGGTAACGTTTTTTCTAGTTTGTAATAAATCTTTGTTTGAGCATCGCGCTCAATCAAATTATATAAGAAGGAAGTAAAATGTTTTACTTAAAATATTTTTTAATCGGACCCATATATACATATTACTTATAAGCCCATATTCAATACAACTTTATTTCTAAATGTTCTCACCCACTTTCAAACAGCACAACAGTCACCAAATCATTAGCCTTTTCATATATCTCATGGCACAAATACTTGTCACCTCAAGCACACCGTTGCCCACAATCGAAACCTTAGGACCAATCACGGCATGGGACTATGCGCAACAACCCAATGAAATTTTACCCATCCAGCCTTTACTACTCTATCCGATTCCACGAAACTTGCAGCTCCAAGGACGTGAACTCGACGACGACGACGAGGTAATTTATGTGAAACTACTTAAGCGCAAAGCATACCGCCCAGCGAAGCAGCATTCCAACGAAATGGAAGATGAGAGCAATGGGCCACGTGAGCTCACCATGAAGGATATATTCTACGTGAAAGCGCTGACCAATGGACAGTTCAGTCATCAGCGCCTCAAATTGTATCGACAACCGGAATTCTACGCGATAAGCGTATTCCGCAAAGGAGCGAAACTGTGAACACTTCTGTTATAAGCAAACCTCTGCAGGAAAGCTGTAATTGATTAATTGTACTTTATTTCTATTTTGTAGATGATTAGTTTTAAGTGCTGACTTATTGTGATTGATTTCTTAATTATAAACATATATATTTAAATAAATAAATATTTGAGTATATAAGCCAACTGATTGTGCGATTTGATAGATGTGTTTAATCTTTTGGGCGAAGCGGCGGGTGTGTTTAGTGAAAAACATAATGAGGCCATTAATTTTGGCGACATGAATGGACGATGAGTGGCCGTTAAGTGGCCACAAAAAAAATAAACAAATCTGATATTTTTACATTTTATTCATTTTATTCATTTGCCGAGTCTGATGTAGGTAATTGCGGGAGCTTATGTAAATATATGCGAGCGTAAAGGTAAGTGGTCATCAATGGGTCGTAATTAAGCGTATGAATTTCGACAATGAAACACACCCATACACATACATGCGAATGAATTTTATGAAGGTACCCATGCAAACCGATGTGACCACAACAATTGATAGTATTACAGCCGCTGTATTAACAACGAAAACAATTAACTGAATATCAATTTGTTATGCTTACCGTTTTTTGCGGCTTCACTTTGTTTTATTTGTATTATATCCAGCTATTTGTTATTTTTTGTTTCTTGATTCGCGCTCATTTATGTGCCACTATGCCAGCAGCATTGTCAGGTGTTAAACGCAGGCCAATTAATTTATTATGTTTAATTAGTAATTAGGCATAGTATAGTCGGAGGCTACTGTGCGCTATGCATGAGCTATTTGGTGGTTCCTCGGTTGGATGCCGGCGTTAACGGTGATTTATGATACTTTTTGCGGGGTTTTGTGAACTTAATTATATGTTGTCTCAAAGATGAGTAGTGGCAGAGAAAGTGGCAATTACTCGACGAATTGAGTGCAGCTTTTCGCCTGGATTTTTCAAATATGTCATTAATTACGTTTGATTGGTCGGTGAGTAGCTCAACCGATATTAAGTTTCAGATTTGACAGTCTGGAATATTCGATAAAAAAAAAACAAGAAAAAATGCCAGCTTCGAAGCACCGAAGTTATAATACCCTTCACAAATACAAAAGATTCCTTACAAGAACTTTGGTCGGTCAGTTTGTACGGCAGCTATATGTCATAGTGACTCGATATGAACAATAAAAATCCGTTTTCTTGGACAATAAACCATGCCAAATTTGGTGAAGATATCTCGTCAAATGAAAAAGTTTTCCATACAAGAACTTGATTTCGATCGATCAGTTTAGCACCAGTAGAAATAAACAAATTTCAAGTCAAATTAAAATCGCGTAATAAAAAAAAACTGAGTTTTATAAAGATTTTTATCTTGATTTGGATCGGTCAGTTTGAATGACAGTTGTATACTATAATGGTCCGATCTAAACAATTTGTGGCATTGTCTTGGACAATAATCTATGTCAAAGTTCTTGAAGATATCTTATCAAATCAAAATGAATTCCATACAAGCACTTTATTTTGATGATCGATTTATATCCTTCATCCTATAGTGATCTGACATCGACCATTCTGACTAATGAGCACTTTCTTGGAGAGAAAAAACGTGTACAAAATTTCAGGTCGATACCTTAAACCCTGAAGGACAAATTCTCATTTATACAGACAGAAGACATGGCTAAATCGACTAAGCCCGTCATGCAATCATTTATATGTATACCGAATCCTAGAAAACGATGGTAATCATCTTTCTGGCCGATGTGACAGTCTTCGCCTTTTTCGCCGGGAGTCGTCCACTGTTTCATCGGATCCTTGGTCTTTGGTGTTTACCTCACTTTCACATGTTGTCAAAACAAATCGTGTCAGCATCCGTCTACTAGAAAGTACTACACGATAGTAGTGGCATCGGGCAGTGGGGCTAAATACTTATCGGACCGCAGGGGAGCAGTGTTATTGCGTGTAAAACAAGAACCATTTTTATGTTTTTTTTTTATGAAACAGTTAAAATCTAAACAAATGGTACATTGTAGTATGATATTAAAGAATATTCTGTTCATGGAGAAATATTTTTAAAAAAATTTGAAATCAAAAAAATTAAAATTATATCGCAACGTAATTTCTTTGCCCAGGTAACACAGTTTTTTGGGAATTTTTGCGAAAATTATGTATAGAAATAGTGTTCGAAATTACAAAACGATTGGTGCTGTTGTGAGGGGCACCGTTTTGAAGTCCGACATGAAACGTTCATTATAAAAATACTCATAACTTCGTCAATTTTGCTCCAATGTACTAGTATATAAATGTATCGGAAAAGTATAGAGCAAATACCAAATGTGGAATTTCAATACTTTAACCTTATCTACAATAAGAAATTTCCAATACATTCCACAATTGAATTTTTTATTTGAATATTTTAATAATCTTGCAACATGCTGCTTCAGAGTACATAAGTTTTTTCACTTAAGGGTTCTTTATATCACCTAAAACCACTCGAGACAGATATCGAGTTATACATATGTAGTTAAATGATCAGGATGACGAGACGAGTTGAAATCCGTGTGAATTTCTGTCTATCTGTCCGTAGTGGGCGTGGCCCCGCACCCTAATAAGTTTAATGTAAATATTATATCTCCCAAATCACTTAAGCTAAATCACAACAACATAAATATTTTAAGCATCTTCTTTGACAGTGTAAAAATGGTTGAAATCGGATCATAACCCAGCCCACTCCTCATATAACGATTATGATGAAAACTACTAAAAGTGCGATAACTCATTGAATAAAAGCGTCAGGGAGATTAAATTTTACCTCTATACAAATCAAGCACCAATAAACGCATCTAGATAGAACTTTGCAAGAATATTGCCTTTAAGATGTGCAACCTAATAACCGAAAATTGTCAAACTCGAATTTCAACTGTTCAAGCCCTCAGATACCGAAAATGTGGACCCCAGTTTCTATTGCGAAAAAATCCCTTCCTGATTACACAATGCACTATGTCAAATATGGATAGAACCGGGTCAATACTAGGTTTCATTTTGTCTAGTTCTTTGACGAATAACAAAAATATTATTTATGTTATAGAAATTCAAAAGAGATCTGTGTGCCCCTTGGGGTTAAAAAACCTTTTAGTTGTCACTCTGCATGCAAAATTAAAATTTATTACTTATTCACATATTTTTATAAGGAATACCTCAGAATATTAGCCAAATAATTTTTGTTTCAAAGAAGTCTTGTTGACATTTAGAAACACTCATTATCAGATTTATTTCATTTCTCATTATTCAATAAATTTCTCATTATTTCATAAATCAAAATTAATAGTTGTTTTTAACCATAATAAATATTTAAATGTATTCTATAATTGATCATATTATATGTCTTATTCGTATAAGATTTTACTTATTAAATTTAAGAAAACAAAATGAAACCTAATATTTTTATCTTTTGAGAGATTCATTTACGTCTGAGTAGAACAGGTGAGTGGGTCATGGCCTGCGCATATGCCACTTCAGGCGAAAGCAAGTAGTGAAATGTCGGTCAACAATGCTTATTATGCAAATTACCCTTCAAAATTTAAACAAATATAATTCGAATTCATCTTTCTCATCTTTCTCAACAT